CCATCATTCGCACATCTGCTTATTTGAGAAGCGAACTCCGGGCTCGCCACTAACAAAGTCCCTCAACTTTCAGTTATTATTTGGCGCGCTTCAAGGACTCTTATCGCCAGGCCACCATTGACCTTATGCTGGGCAACCAGGTCTCCTCTGAGTCCCTCAGTGCTCTGGGCGGCCAGGCGGGAACGGATGAGAGCGATGCCACGGAGAATGCTGAACATGCCAAGTTGCTGGTGGAGGACTGCCGTCGTCTGCTGCTGGGATCCGCTCAGTATCCGGTCGGCGCTTGGGGACTCATCGATGCTGACCCCAGGTAAGTTGCCCAGGATCTGGGATATTCTTTCTAGTTTTAATTTAAAACACACTACTCTCCAGTTCCGGTGATGCCAACGAAACCGAGGTGGACTCCATACTGCTGCTGACCGACGACTGCTACATCGTGGCCGAGTACGACTCGCACCTGGATAAGATTGTCCGCTTCGAGAAGGTGCAACTGCCGCAGGTGCGCCTCATCGAACTGGGCATGTACCAGCAGACCAAGATGTTCCAGGGCCCAGCCACCGCGCATCTCTGTCTGCGCCTCAACTACAGGGTCGAGGATCAGGAGGGCTACTTCCACATGTTCCGCTCGGCCAACTTGCGCTTCTTCAACAACATGGCCTACGTGATCAAGACGCAGGAGGAGCTGGCCGAGTCTCTGACCTCCATTGTGGAGATGTTCCGCATTGCCCTGGACAATGCTGGGAATACTGACGTCCGATACGTGACTGGCGGGGTGCTGCAGCGCAGGAAGAGCAAGGTGCCGCTGCTGGATGTGCCCAAGGGCATGCCGCGCAACCTCTCCGAATCTCAGTTGGTGCAGTTCAGCTCCAAGGCCCTGTCGAATGTGGCGGGCCAGTTCTCGAAGCTGGGCCAGACCTTCAAGAAGCCAAGCTCGAGTTCCACCCAGCAGCAGCAGCAGCAGGCACATCCCAGCAACCTGGCAGCCACCATAAATCCGCAAGTGATGCGTCAGACTGGTGGCAGCGAAATCGGGATCGATGCTGGCCAGGAGGCGGAAAAGGCCGTCTTCACGCTGGGCCACAAGCAACGCAACTCGAATAGCGCCAGCAGCTCCGACACCGACGAGCACGACAACAGCTTGTACGAGCCCGAGGTGGACTCCGATGTGGAAATAGCGCTGGACAACAAGTCGAACTACAACGAGAACGCCTTCCTGCCGTCGGTGGGCATTGTCATGGGCAGCCAGAAGGAGGAGCAGTCGCCCAGCTCCTCGGACGAGATACGGCAGTTGGAGCAAAAGGACAGCATGTGCAAGACGGCCGAGGATGTGCTAACGATTTCCATTACCTCAGTGACGGATCACGTGGGTCTGCCGACGGGTCTGTTGGAAAATGCACCGACCCTGCGGCCGATCACGCCCAATCCCCAGATCTGCGTGCAGGCTCAGGAGGCCTACGAGGCTGAGGAGGAAGAGGGAGTCAAGTCCCTGTCCAGGTCGGTATTCTACAAGTGATCTTTGGTTGTAGATAATCCGTATTTTCTACGATTTAAGCTTTGTTTTCTCAGTCTTATTCGTTCTTATTAGCCGATCTATTTGTTTGTAGAGTTTGTAAATGTGTTTTAACCCTTTCGCGGTGAAAGAAAGTATTATTACGCTTCAGTTATCCCTTATGTGTGTTCTCAACTTTACGAAATACCTAAGATTAGCATGTATTACTGTACAAATAACGAGAAATACCTGTGCCTGCTATACACACCACATACACTCGGCCTGTTTTTGGCTCAAAATAAATCCATTAAGTAGAAATCTCTGGCCGTGTTTTTGAATCTTAATGCGTTTTCAGTGGCCTGGGCGCTGATCTCAGCCTGCCTTTGGGCCTGCCCACCCAGCCGGAGGCCAATAAGCTGAAGCAGCTCACCAGTCCGCTCTCCAAGCTGGCCAAGAACATTGGCCTCAACCTGGACCCGCGCAAGATAGCCACCAAGGTGAGCTTTGAGAGTAAAATATGATGTATTTTAATGCTAATATCTACTTATACTTATTTTCAGACCGGAGTCCTCTCCCCCACCAGTCTCTCCGGCGAAAATACCCCGCCCGAGCGCGGTCCCAGTTCCCGGGATCACCTGCTGGAACTGTGGGAGGCGGAAAAGTGCAAGACCAAGTTGATAGCCCTATAAGCAATACTCCTTAACACTTATTATAAAAATTAGCGCAAGTGATATATTTATTTATTACCAAAATGGGAACGAAGCTGAACAAACACTTCCATTAATGTCACATTAGGAAAAACAAAACCAAAATATATACAAAATGGTATTAGAGGTTCTTACAATGTAGATGTTATATACGCCGTATTTTGTGATTGTTATAGCACCGAGTTTTAGGGAGTTGAAACATTATTGTGTAACTTGAAAGTAGTTGTATATTTATTCAGCCTTTTGCTATATCCCAGTGGATCAAAACAAGAGTATCTATAGTTTGAGATTGAAAAACGAAGAAAAAACTAGCCTTTGCGAGCCTTTGATGATATCTTTGGGGATAAAATTGGAATATATTTATAGAAAAATAGTGGAAAACGGGCATACAAATTAAGGAAAAAATATAAAAACTAGAAAAGAAGCTAACTTTGGGACGCCGAAGTTTGTATACCCTTTCAGTTTTAAAGTGTGTATTTTTTTAACAATGCAAACCAATTTTTCCTTCCAACATGGCTAGAAAAACGCGCCTGTTAATGCTGATCAGAAATATTTATGATTTATAGATTCAGAATGGACTGCTTCAAGGCCTTTCAAACTGCAGACTAAAATTACAATGCCCTGCAAGGTTATACAAACCGAAAATACATGCATTTCAATAGCTTTTTGTTCCCTAAACGCTTACTTCTGAATCGATTTCCGCAGATTTATGAGGACTCCCGTTAACGCTCGCTCGTTATATTCAACTTTAGTCATTTGGTCCACTGGGATAATTGGGCTCACAGTGAAGCTTCAGCAAGTATTGATATTCAGTAGAGTTAAATTCGGCACTTTGCTTATGAAAGAAACTAATTATACGTACATCGGGCTGGCGAACTGCAGCATCCACAACAACACAAGACTTGGACACATGCCACATTCAAACAAAACAAAAGAAACTAAAAAAATATATCGTAACCAGTCATATTTGGCAAACGAATAACGGATGGATACTCTTATCGCTTTCGGAAATGTCAACGAATATTAGGTGGATTGAGTCTATACACAAACATTTTAGCTTGGGGAATCGTTGTATGCCCTCCGTAGTGTGTTTGTAAATAGCGGAATATTTAATGAGTAAACAATACAATTAACTAGAACTATGTATGCGCCACCGATTATATGAAATATAATATATATAAATGTGTTTAAATGCTTAAAATGTGATTTGTATCAAGTAACTACTGCGGACTGCATCCAATAATTTGTGAAGCATCCCATCAAAGCCCAACATGTCAGTGTCAAGTGGTGTCCCGTTGCTAGATGCGGCCTGTTTACATAAGCGATAAACGAGGAAGCAAAAAATGGCAGACCAACCACCAACCCTGTGCCAAGTGGAAATCAAAAATCCATTAAAACACCACGGAAACGGACCCGGGGCCCTGTAATGCTGTCAATCAGCTTACACATACACAAGTGTCTCTATATTGATATTGGACTTTATTTATGCGAACTTTGGACCAACCAACGGAACTCCTGAACTTTCGACCAGCCAGCTGATAAGGGCCACACGACGATGGTCCTGTCCCGGACCCTGCTCCTGCTCCTCGTCCAGGCTTCCAATATCATGCTAATGTGTACGCACAGTTGCATCAATTGTTTTTCAATCAAAGTGCCATCAATCTTATTGGCTGTTTGTTTAATTAACGTACGCATTGTCTACCTATGGGAACGGAGAGGGGTTGAGGCGGGGCAGGACCTAGTGTGGGAGTGGGAGGATACGTAAGGATATTTCATGCCAATCCATTTGACCCCCGAGTCACGCCTGATTGCCACGCACCAAGGATGCACTGCCTCCCTCTCGAATATCCCTGGCATTTTTCTTTCGCATTTCACTTCTTAACTTTGTCCATGTCTTTTGCGTCCATTAAGTGTGTCTGTGCTAAGACTTGGAAATTGTCTTTTGAATGTTTCAATTACACGCCTTCTTAAGCACAGCTTCCCTTTCAAATTGAACCAACGCCACCAGACTCCCATCGTCCTTCGCCCTTCGTCCCCTCGTCCGGCTTCCATGGTCGGATGGGCGGACTTCAGACGGACGGAGACTGATCTGGGTTGGCTTTTCCATTCCCATCCTCCGGTATTCGTTTCGGTTTGCTTCGGTTTTTATGCGCCAATAAAGTGAAATGCAGAGATAGTCGGAGGATTTACTGCCTTCGGAGTAGGCAACATGGTATATGTATATGGTGTGCATGTGTGGTCCCTGCTAGCTCTCATCCCCCGGCCAATTTCGTTAAACACTTTTGCCTTAAACCATTAATTTCCTATATGTTCGACTTGTACGTGCTGCCGGCACTCCCGGCAGCCATCCCGAAGCCCCATGGAAAGTTAATTTTATTGCTAAAAGCGGGTTAAGTGCTCGGTGCACAGCTGAGTGCCTCTATTCTGTGGCCCGGTTGCTGTTGGGTGCTCCCTGATAGAAATCAAATTTGCTTTATGGTATGTATGCTAATTTGGTGTCTGGCTGGTGTCCGCCCAGTGCGATTCGGGGCCAGACTCTGGTCGATGGCTTGGATCCACGCTGCACTTGATGGGCTTTTAATTTCGGGTTGAGCCTGACGGCGAGATAGGAACTTATTATATTATTCATTTGGAAGTTACTGCGGACAAAATGAATGACAAAGATTTCCAATAGAAGTTCTGTACTCTACATTTTAAGTTAAAAAAAATAATAAAAGCCCGCAGATATCCTAGAAACCGAACACACTTTAGTGACACCTTAAAAAAATTTATGTGGGAGTACTCCACCGGACGATTTGGGCACGCTTTTGGACACTTTCCGTATGTTATGGAATTTTGCTTTGTCCATTGTCATTTTACCTAACTCTATGACAGCTCAAAAATATTGACATTTCAATCATTACTTATACTTTAAAAAGCATATCCTAACTTTACATTTTGGAGAGTTTTCTCCCTCCATAAAAATGGCTCGCGCTTGCCAGTGCCTTAAACCTCACTTGCCGGAGATAAACTTCCATGACTGGATCATCAGCTGCGAGAAGTCGCACATCCTGCATAGCGTCTGTAAGCTGGGAAATGACCAGAACTGCTCCAGGCAGGACCCCAACCGCTGTGATCTCTGCCTATATCGACTCACGCTGGAGCTGCCCCGCCTGCCCGACATGGTTTTCTTCAAGAACAAGTTGGTTTTGCAACACAAGGATGGCGCCCTGATCGAATTTAAGCCCATGGACTCACTGGCCGTGGTCTCCAACGGGAAGCAGCCGCTGGAGATGGCCAGTGCCCATCTCGAGCAGTCTGTGGAGGAGAAGTTCAAGCCCTTTGATTGGACTTTTACTTCCACCTATCAGGGCTCCATGAACAAAAAGGTGCGCGTTGAGAGCACAGATCAGGCACTCGAGAAGTTCAAACTCATGCAGCGCGAACCCATAGTCTTCCACCACGATATCACCCTGTTCGAGGATGAACTGAATGACCGCGGCATATCCAAGATGAGTGTGCGCATCCGCGTTATGCCCTCTGGATTCTTCATACTGCTGCGCCACTTCCTTCGAGTGGATCGGGAACTCATCTGCTTGCATGATACTCGATTCCACCACCAAGTAGGGAATGACTTTATCCTGAAGGAGTACAGTCATAGAGAGGCGCACTGCTCTGAGCTTCAGAGCTCTGTGGCCTTTTGGACCAAGCCGGATGAGATGCAGGAGTACCTGCCTTTGAAGTCTAAGGAGTTATACAAGTTATACTTTTAGTAGTTTTTTTCTATTTATATTTGTTTGCTATTATACAGATGCATTTGTTTAATTATAATTAAATATTCAAACATTCGCGATATTTCTACCGGCAAATAACACTTCAAATTATTATTTTTCAAAAATATATTCAAAGCTTATTTGAAATTCAAAATGTGAGTAGTGAAAATATTGATGATAACTATTTTTATTTGAAAAAAAGTCTAGCAAATCTTTATATATATTTTACTAAAACAAAACCCCACATATTTTTACGTCAAATATCAGAGCCTTTGAATTTCAACAAACCAGAAAGTTCAGTACACATTGGTACTCCCAACGATACAAAGCTGTGAACTGTTGGTCTTAGAAAAGTGAGAATTCCAAAATTAAACTAAATTGCGGTGTTTGTTTCATTAATTTATTGTTGTGCTGGAAGCTAATCCCCCGTACTTAATAGCTGCGTGGTCATGTCTTCTCCAAGTTCAAGAAAAATGAGGGACCCTTTCAACGAGTATTGCTTGCCACCGTTGAATGGTATCGTCCGGGCCCCGATAATTCCGCCATCGAATCGTCCTGGTCGGAGGACCAACGTGCTGGATGAAATAAAGATCGTGGTTAATGCGCTCGTGCGGAACCCCTGCTCTCTACACTTCCGGAAACCCTTGGGCACCAACCCCATGGACTTGCCCAACTATCACATGCTGATCAAGCGGCCGATGGACTTGAGTACGATCCTGCGGCGCCTGAACAACAACTATTATTGGCAGGGGAAGGAGGCCATCGAGGACATCAAGTTAATTTTCGAAAACTGCAGGCAGTTCCACCAAGAGGGATCCAAGATCTACGAGGCGGGCGAGGAGTTGAAGAGCGTCTTCTATAGATACGTGTCCTCCATCGATATGACCAGGGAGAAGGAGGTGAAGGTGAATGCTAGAGGAAGGCGTCCTATCTTCCGCCGTCGCCGAGCCTACCGCAGTGCATCGTGCCCCCCGGCTTAATCTTCCCTTCCTGATCTCCGACCTATACTATATAATCCTCAGTAGCTACCATTGGAATATTTTTTGAAAAGCTGGTTTTTAAATTTCTAAGAGGTTTTTTGGACTTTCGAGTAGAAGCACTGTTCACCCACTTAAATTTTGGGGAGAATTTAAATCATTTTTGTAAGATCTTATGATAGACATAAAACTGGGAACCAAATATACAGTTGTTACCACACGACAGCAGATTTTACCCCTAATTATAATGGCCTCTAATGGCTCCTTGACTCAAATTAATTGCTATGGTGGCACCTTGAACATCGGCGAGCTGTTAAGCCGATTAAAATAAACGCTTGCCATTTTCACACCGAAATATATTTATATGTATATACAAAATTTATGGAGCTGCCGGAATGGTAATGCGAATAAATCAATCGAAATAGCCGCAAAATCAAATGATGCATAAATAAAATCCAAAGCCACTCGGTGTTCCAAACAATATTTGCAGATGCGAATCACCTCGAGGTCAGAGAGTGCACGCATATGCCCGGTGTCCGGGGTGTCCGGGGGTAATATGACCTATGACCAGCCAGCAACCGCCATGACACTTGAAAGCAAATTAAATAGAAAATTGAGTTTTTGCGAAAGTCATCCCAGAAATGGTTGTGAAATTTTATACATAATTGAATTTTTGGTCAAGCAGCAGCAGCAGCACACGTAGCACACACACCGAAAATCTCTGCATACAATTACCTAAAACCCGGACTACACATGGACAGCTGAGGTCAGAGGTCAGCGGGCGAGGCGGGGCGAGGCGGGGCGGGGCGGGGCGTGGCGTGGCCTGTGGCTATTGCACCACACGCCAAACAATCGGCAACCGAATGTCATCTTCAATTTCAAATTCAATTATAAAACAAATTGGTTTGAGAGCAAATAAGCAGTCGCACACAGAGTGCGAGAGAGATAAACTCAGCAAGGACTCGCTCGTCCTCCTGGCGACATCAAACGGCAAATCCATTCATCCACTTTGCAATTGTGCCCGGTGAAATAAATGTAATGAAATGTTAACAAATGACAACAGGCTGGCAAACACACAAGTAACAAAAACCGCAAGGGTGGCTGCTCCAGCTTCGACTCCTGCCGAAGGACTCTTCTGCCCTTCTTCGGCCCAGCACCCGGACAACGTATCGAATTAGTTTGATGAGATTTATTGGCTCAAGTCCCACTTGACCGGCGGCTAGACAATTATGGATTAGTGCCATTTGTTCGGGCATCGCCGGGACTTGATATTCCTCCACATGGTCGCCACAGCCAGCCAACGATGATTATGCGGCATAATGTGGCACCGATTTTCAACGCCTTTGATTGCGGCATCGCCATTATCTAAAAGGCATCCGATTACCTCCATGTCTACACCCAACACCCAATTCCTTTCGATGCCAACTTCCCCCCCACAATGGCGAGCCGTGTCCTTGGCCAACCCACGCACGTCATCGCCAGGAACGGCCCATGTCACTGGTCCTTGGGGGAAATTTGTCAGAGCATCAGCGGCGTTAAGGTGCCAATTAAGGGCTTTTTAGTATCAATTACAAAATCGCACGTTTCCACACCTTTATCAATGTTCCTGTGTGTGTGTGTGGGCGTTATCCTTGGGGTCCTTCGATGGGGAGATGCTCGAATTACGTTAACGCCACTGACATGCTGGTCAGCATGCGGATGAACGTGGATCTGCCGCCCAACTCCTTTGCCTCCTCTGCGAAATTGTTTTGTGGCATTGTTTTTATCGTCCTGTTTGCCGGTTCACTCTTCGTTTTTCCTCTTTTTTTTTACAGCTCCCAGTTTCTCCTTGTCACTCGGTCTTTGACAGCGTGATTTCGCCAGTGATTTATTGTCCTGTCGGTGGTAAATTGGGTTTGTCATTAAAGTTGGCAATGGCATAATCGAGTGATTTCCAACTCTATGGCCATGGGAATGCTATATCCGATCAGGGGATTGATTTTACTTTTGTTCCGGGAGCGAGCAAGGATATCGATAAGGACAACTAGGAAATATTGCAACTTAGAATTTTTACTTATGAGATATATAGATTAAGATTTTCTGAATCATAAAATCATGCTCTTCTCCTCCTTCCTCCTCAGAAATTTTCCCACATATCGTCTTTAGTCACACTTTCACACATGTGTCTCTCTGTGGCTTGATCCGCTCCAGAGTCAGCCTCCGATTGGACCCAACTCTGAGCACTCGACTCCAGGTGGCACTTTCAACGCGTCACATCATCCAAGCCGGCAGCTAGTCATAGTTGGGTGTAATCCACACCCGAATCGCCTGGCAGCGTGTCTAAGTTACACCCAATTTCGACTCGTATTACAAATTAAAATGTGCCGCAACCCACACACTTTTCCCGGAGACCCATTTCCCATTTCCACATTTCCATGGCCGAATGGGAGGGGCGGGGACGGAGTGACAGCGTTTTAAACTGATTAGCTCCTTTCTCCTCCTGCGGCTGCCACGGGTCAATGAGATGCTAAGCATATCCCTAAAGCATGACAGCCACTGAAAGGGTGCAGCCTTCAAAGATTGTTTAATTTTTAAGCAGCCGAAAGAGAGAGAGCTCCTGAGTGGGATGGGATGGGATGCCCGCCTTGTGGCTTTGTCGTTTCGGAGAACGGGGATGGATTTGATGGATTTTTTCTGCGCTCAGCCTCAGTGAGCATATCCTGGCGGCTATTGATTTATTTGCCTCCGATTCCGAAATAGTAGTTTTTTAAACTCTAGAAAACTGTCATCGGGGCCGCGGCCGAGGCTGTCGGTCCTATGATTAATCGCTGGTAATTATGTTGATTAATTGCCTTATTAGAAGCGTTTGGCTCAAGGCGTGAGAAACCGAAATCCGGCCGCTGCCATGGATCATAATTCTTGCGATGATAATTCCGGGGAACGTGCTGAGATTTTCGGGGGCAGTGTTTTAAAATAGAACATAGCTTCGTGCCCATCTTGTGCAGTTAGCATCAGCATCAGACCAGGGCGGGTCCCCTCTTTAATTACCAGAAAAACCATTTGGCGCAAATGTTTTTCTTTGTTTCGCCCAACCGCCGGGCAAACAGGAAAGCCACCAGCTCCTGTTCCTGTTCCTGTTCCTGCTCCTTTTTCAGCCCGTGCTCCTGCTCCTGGTCAAGCAATAATATTTCATTACACGCTGCGCTTTTCAGCTTCCCTTTCGACGGGGCACTTAAAATTAAGCGTGCCCAAATCCCCAAAGACCACAAGCCCAACATAAACAAACTAACCGAATGAATGCAGCTCCTTCCCCAAGGAATTGGCCAGGAGCGGCGGAAAGGAGCGGGCCGCCGCAATCATAAAAATAATAACCACATTATTGTGTTTAATAATGAAAAATATCATTTTCGGCATAACTTTTGGCTTTTGTTTGAGCAGCCAGCCCACAGCCACACCCCCAGGACCTCAGGACTCCTGGATACCGGCATCCTCCAAGGGATGCCCGCATTTTGGTTGGTTCGCATTCGGGCGAGCAACCCTTAAAGCCCGCCTAAGCATATTTTCTAAATTATTGCTGGTCGTTCGTGTTGTTTCAGTCAAAGCCATCGAGTGCCTTTTGCTTAATTTGTGGGTGCACCCTCCTCTTGGTGCTTCTGCTCCTGTTACCCACTGACTTGCCATCGCCCTTGGCTGCCACCGAAAAGGGGTGCGTCTTGAGTACCTGCCATTTCGGATGGAGCCACCCCTTCTGTGAGTAAGTACTTTGTCGTTTTTATTGGCATGTTGACTTTGGAAATTAGTTTTTAATATGCGCAAATAATTTTGCATATCAGGCTCAAGTGGCTCCGATAAAAAATGCGCCATGTGCCCTTATCAGATAACTGCGAGTGTGTGTATGCAGCCATAAAAAGTGTAAATATTTGTAAACAACCAAAATGCAATCCACAAAATTGTTTACCTCCTTACCTCCCCGCGGCGTCGGCGGCGGACCGGGGTGAAAAATCCCTGCATATTGACATCAATTAAAGGGAATCAAGTCGACACTCGCACAAACAACGTAATTCACAACAAATGTGTTTGAAAATTGGTCGATCCGACAACAGGAACTATTCATTAGCCAACCCCCTGAAGGCAGACAGGCGGCACAAAAAAAGGTTCAACAACGGCCAAGCCACAGCATCCCAGTCGGGGGTACAACGATCTCTTGCTCTCTCTTTCGTCCAGCAACCCTTGTTCCTACAAACTTCATGTGGCCAAGAACAGGAGCACAAAAAAGGACGAGGGCCAGAGGCGACAGGCGGCCACATTCGAGTGCGTTGATTTGCGCCTTGAGCTGTTTTCAGGGCGGCCCGTAGAGGTCAACGGGAATAGTTCTATAATGAACAAAACACATTGTAAATTGTCCTGCCGGCATGGTAAATGGGAACAAGTGTGCGCAGGGACCTAAAAATGGGTGCACATGGAAAAAATTAATGAAAATACTTTAAAAATTTGCTTATTTTTACATACTATTTGGCTTAAAGTTAACGAATTCATTATCAACATATATTATTTATTTGGATTGGATAGAAAATTTATGTATGATCTATGTAAATCTATGGATTATATTTTAGATGGAAAGCGTTATTTCTAATTTATCTAAATTCATTCGTTTCAATTAAAAAATATATATATATAAACTCAAAGTTATTAGTAGGGTAATAAATCTACAAGTTTTAAGATTAAAAAAATCACCTTATTAATTTTTAAGAATTTTAAGGATTAACCCCTTTTAAAATTATAGGAACTATTAGTTAAATTCATTTACTAACAGAAATGGATAGATCGGCTTGGCTGTTAACGCTTAGCCAAATAATATATATGGTTTATATATCGAAAATGATATAATACCCTGCAAGGACATAACAAACACAAGATCATGACTAGATTGTCTTGGCTGTTGTTGCTGAATACTTCAACTGTACACTTTAAATTTCATAAAAATCTACTCAATATTTCCTATTATTGTTCGCTATCACATTTTCCCGCTGTGCATCGGCCTCGTAGCACCCCACTTAGGTATGCAAACAAAGTGTAAAACAAAGTCTTCTTCCCTCACATTCGGCTCAGTGTAGCTTGGGTTGCTTGTTCGACGTAAAAGGCAAATTAGCAGAAACCAGCCCGGCAATTTAAAATAAAATGTTCTGGGGGCGACAACACAGAGTCGGGTCGGGTCGGGCAATTCTCAACTGCCTTCGACTC